GGACACTCCAGATAAAAGCATCCACCACACGCCTTTCATGCACGTTACATGTTAACATGTCCTTGAAGGAAACTTGAGGACGTGTGCTGAAGGTCGCTCTATTTTCAGCCATGTGTCTCATTTGCTTTAGACTGACGTCCACGTGTACGTGTGTCAGATGGAGATGGAAAGACAGAACTACATTAGAGCTATACTCTACTTGGTTTATAAGTTGTACCTCAAATGCAGCTTTTTTTGTGCTAGACCTGTGTGTGTCTGGCATTAGTGCCAGGTGTAACCAAGCAACCGTTGCTTTTTTAAGGCTCCTCATCTCCACTCCACTTCTTTTCAATTATGGAGGTTGCATGCTGCAGAGCAAAGTTTTTATAGCAGCGTTTTTCTAACCCCATGCCCGTGTGGTCTGAGAAAGTGAGAGCTGAGCACACTTGCAGGGAATGGGAGAGTAGCCCGATTGTTGAGTAGGATGAAGCAAAATAACAGCCAGTGGCGACGGGAGGATGGACAAACTTAGAGATCAGCAGAATCCAATGAAAATAATAATATTGTAGCTGAATATGAGGCTAAAAGAAAACAGGGAGAGGATTAGTTGGAGTATGTGCAGTAGGTGGAGAAGGAGGAACCTCATGTTGTGGCCATGTGTTCCCAGAAGATCGCCACAGGGGTCTTTAACGGGACGGGCCTTGACGTAAATTCCCCTCCAGTCTCAGTTTAAACAGCCTGCTGTAATACCAAGGTGGGTGGGTGGGGTGCTGCTGTACTCTTAGCCAAAGAATGCCTCACTGAGGAGCCATAAGGGGAAGAACACTTGAGGCCATAACCTCTGAGGCTCTGTGGCAGCCTCAAGGTCGTGACCTCTGCTTAACCCACAGTCATCTTACTGTTTTCATCCAGCACAGCCACAAACATGGTTATGCTAAATTAAAGCTAAAGAAGGATGGTTATCAGTTTACACCTTGCAAGAAGTTGTTAGCATTTTGAGCATAGCAAACATGCTGATACAGATTAGAGAAGATAGTGTGTTGCTTTCTTTTGCAGCTGCACTTTGTCAGGTCACTCAAATCACAAATAAAAAAATGAGTTAAAAAAACCCACATTTGTCTACTGGTGTCTAGTCATACAGATACTTTTGCTTTTGTCTTGTATCTGAAACCTAAGTCGTCCATCCCAACAGACTTTAGTGTAGAATCCAGTGAGACTATTCATGTGGTAGAAGGTAGTTTGAATAAGAATTGAAATTATAACAGGAAATACCTGCCTTGCTCGACACTATTAAGGGCAAGTGAATATTACATTTATTAATATATTTAAATATGTGTTACAATATTTTTTGTGATATAGGAATCAACAGAGTCTTACATGTTGATGTATCTACACATAATATTGTGCAACATGAAAAAATCAGTCCAAGGTCATTCACATTGTAGAATTTCAATGCAATGCCACTTTTGGGCAGCATGGCCCAGGTGCTTTGCATGGTATTTGTTAAATTCAAAAACTGAGCATTTGCAATCAGCAAATATCTTGTAACAAGATAGTGATACCTCCTCTCAATAACCCATAGAAAGTGTAATGATGCCATGTAAGTGATAAAAGCATAAAGAAGGCTTGGGTAGGTAGGTTTGTGTTCAAAGCAAATTCTGGACACAGGGCAGGTTTTATTATTCCTGTATTTTGTCCGTAATTGATGCTTTTTTGATGTGCTCATCAAGAATACGAGGACAGTACCTTTTTAATGATTGGGAGGTTAGATAGATTTCCTATGAAAACCCAATCTGAGTCGCTCAGTTCCCCTTGCTGTCTGAGAAGTAGGCCATCGGCTGAGAAAACAGAGGCATGAGCAAAGAAGAGAGAGGAGGTGGAGAGAACTAAGCGAGTGAAAGTGCCAGCGGAGGAAGAGGAGGTGTATGTTGAGGAGAGGCTGGGGAGGTTTTGGGTTTATTTTTACCTTTTCCAGCAGTATAGCCCCACTTCCTAATTAACTGCCAATTAACTTCTGATAAGCCGAGGGCCGGTGGCAAAGTGCCATGGCTACAGATATAGCCTCGGTTTGTCCTCCCTTCCCTTCTGCTATTAGCCCACTTTCTCTCCAGGGCTCAGGTCTCCAAGGGCCCCTCTCAGCCACCGAGGCAAGGCCAACATCTGCTCCCCAGAATCATCATACGTCTCCACTTCACACCAGAGCTGGGTCAGCCTAAAACTGCGCGCTCTAGAAAAGCTCTGGACGAATTTGTACATGACCAAGCTGCTGTGGCTGTTTTCTTTCCACTCTTCTGCTCCATGTCAAGTTGATCTAGGACACGTATTCCCCAGATGAGATACTTTAAGACTTGTTTATAAAACTGTCAACAGTATGGTTTTATTGCCTCATTACCATGGTCACCCCTCCGTCAAGCTGGTGTCTGCTGAGTGTTTTTTTTTTTTTTTTTTTCACGCAAAGTCCACCGGTGCACTTGCAGGGTGATTTTGGAGAGATTCAATTCATCGCTCTTGCAGCCTCTGTGCTGCTGAGTGTGTGTGTGATACAAGTGTGATGCACAGGAAACCTTTGAAATAGCAGTGAGCGTGGCTAACAGTGGTCCTGGGAGAAACAACCAATGGAAAGAGCTAAAAATATCTGAATGATTTGTCAAGGGCTGTCATGAATGGTACTATCACTGGAATCCACACTTCACAGGATTCAGGATCTGAATCTCAGACACACACAGAAGCGTGTTTCAAATGTGTTTTTGGCGCGGCCAACTCACACACCCTCTGTGATGACAGCAACCCAAAAAGGCACTGAACAGTAAAACAGCAGCAACTTGCACCGACTGTTTCAGTCTGACCTGTAAATGTAAACTTGTGTCTGTGTTTTTTTACCAGGATGATCAGGTGGCAACTTTCTGCTTCGAACTTTTCTGTTCCTCTGTGTGTCTGTCTCCATCTCACTCTCTTTTTCTCTTCCCTCATTCATGTGACTAATGACAAGGTCCAGTGCTTATGTCCTTATATAGACCTATGCTCTGTCTGATCTGGCTGAGGCCGAGACGCACACACACGCACACACACACATACACAGGCATATACAGCCACAACCACACACAGACACACACTTGCTAGGTCTTGAGATGTTTAGGTTCCCCTGAAAATGTCAACGTCTATCAGGGAGAAGCTCTTGACCACATTTATTAATCTGTGAGTGCATTAATGTTATATGTGTGCAAAGTGCAGGTGCACTATTTTTAGTTCAAACATTCTGGGCATCACAGGAATAATTTGCAGTGGTAACTTGTTTCCCTAAAATACATTAACATAAATAAATAAATAAGTAGTTTCTTAATATTATTTCTTAATAATTCAGCATTTTGAGAAGTACACTTATTTTTCTTTCTGAGACTTAGAGGTGGAGATTGATACTATTCATGACTGATTGTTAACTACAGAGCTAGAGCTAGAAGGCTGGTTAGCTTAGCATAGCATGAAGACTGCAAGTGTGGAGAAACCACTAGCCTAGATTCTAGCTATGTGCTACCAGCACCTCTGAAGCCCAGTTAATACTTAACTGTAGTTGTATCTTATTGGACATATAAATGTAAAAACAGAAATTTGTAGTTAATCAAGAAGTAGTTATATAGTTATATATTTATATAATAGTTATAGATTGTAACTCCCCAAAAAAGGGAGGTATTTTAAACGTTGCAGAGAGCTAAATTAGTTGTTTCCCCATTTCCAGTCTTAATGCTAAGCTAGGCTAATTGATCTGATGGATAGTGAAAAACACTTTTCTCAAAGTGTTGAAATGTTTCTTTAATAAACATTAACATTTCTACTACTGCTCGTCTACAGTTGGGATTTGATGTTGTTTGGCAGCTTTCAGATCTTGTATACAATGAATATAAATGATGTGTTTTATAATTAATGTGTATTTAGATCTGACTAAAGTAGAATGACGGAGGTAAACGTCCTTTTTTGGTTCAGTGACGTCCAATGTCACTTAATCAAATATCAGCTGTTTATCAAGTTGATGTTACTACTGATTTAAATCCTTGAACCACAGTGAGACATTTTGAAAGATTTCCATGTAAAGACAAAATTTCAGAGAAAAACAATAATAGGAATGTTTTTAGATAGGGTTGTCATGGTGATCAGGTATTTGGTGTGCTTCGTGCCCTGATGCCGTCCGCGGTTACTGCACCTACTTCTGTAATATATTAGGGCTTTGTTACAGATACCGACAGAGCCTGCTGATCCCTTGTGTATTCTTATTATAGTCTTGTCTCACACACACACACACACACACACACACGCACACACACACACTGAGCTGTTCACCAGACCTAGTTATCGACATAAGGAGATCTCTCCTTAAATGGTAGACTGCCCATGGCCCTGTTTCCACTGCATGAACCAAATGAAGTCCAGGTCTGGGAATAGCCTTTTAAAGTGGAGGAGAGAGACAGAGACAGACACACAGAGAGAGAGAGAGAGAGAGAGAGAGAGGAAAAGCAGGTGAGAGTAAGAGACAGAGATGGCAAGAGGCTTGACAATGGAGAACATGATTTGTGACGCTGAGGGAAAGATAACTGAAACTGGAGTGAGGCAACTTCCTGTCAGTAAACGTATGGACAATAGCACATGGTTGTACATACAGTATATTAGATGAAAAAAAAAAAAATATATATATATATATATATATATGGTGTATGTGTATACCCCTTTCATCCCTTAGTCAAACACCAACATGTTTGTTGTTAATCAAGAGAAGTTTTACAAATTGTATTTGAGAAAATGAGTCACTTAAGACATCAAGCATCATAGTTGACTCTAACAAGACCTTATCCAGATGTCAGTTTGGTATGTTTTTTTCTGATTGGCAAGTTATGTGCCAGAGTGCGTCAAATCCAGCATTTGATGAAGTTAAAACACACACTTTGACCCACACTGAGTCTGTGATGTTGTCAGGAAATACTGTTAATGATGTCGCTCACGGCTCATCTTCTTTTCTTTTTTTTCTCTTCCAGCCTGAAAATCTACAGAAAACTTGGCTGAGGGAGTTTTACCAGGTAAGTGATTCAGTATACAAACATGTAATGATGTTAATCCAACAAGTAACATGTTACTGTTTGGGCTACTAATGTAGGTCATTCTCAGCTGTAACTGCTGCAGTGGTGCCTATGCAGTAATGTTTTATTAAGGTCCTTGGTAGAGTGACGTCTTAGCTCTTGGGTGCAGTCAGTATCATAATGTGTTTTAATGTGCTGACCTTGTTGGTTCATTATTGTTAACACACGTCACGTCATAAACTCTAAATTTAAAAGTGTTGTTTGTAAATGTGAGAATATAATGGCCACACTGTGCACTTCTTTATGTGCTGTATTACTTCTCAGCTTTTACCATTGCAACATGTGTTATCAGAATTGTAATCTACATATTTTTACACATCATCCTTCCTTAATTTGCTACAGTAGTATAGTGGAGGACACATCAGGCCTACCATATGTCTCTATAGCTTCAAGTGTTGTCATGAGACTGTGGCCAAAAAAAACCCTTCAGGCTATTTCACGTGATTGTCTTTTCAGTTGGAAGTTCTGTAGATTAAGTCAAGTGAAGGCATGTGCTCGCAACATCCTTTCTGCAAAGAGAAAATCGAAATCTAGTTCTGCTGTAACCTACGCTGCACACGCTTTCCGAAAAGCTTCAATGCATGTTTATTTATTTATATCTTTTCCTGATCGGCCTATCCTGTTATCCTTTTTAAACATCTTGCAGACTAATGTTCGGTTTAGATGCTGTGATCGTATTCACCCTCACCTTTCACATGCACTGGTTTTTCAGAGAGCCAGAGCTTGAGCTCAGTCATGTTTCATATCTTACCTTTTCATCTGCATAGGAACCTCTGACTAACCACAACTCTTTCCACTGGGGTAAGGGAAGTGAGGCAGCTAGAAGTCAAACTGCTGTCTGAAAGTAACAGACAGAGAGAAGAGAGAGAGACACTGATAGTTTTGCTACGGTAACCAGGATTTTTCTTCACAACTCTGGTGTGGTTGTGAGACAAATATATTGTGCAAACTTTTTCATTAAATTGCCACATACAGAGAGCATATTTATCTATATTAGAGCAGATAAAGTTAATGTAAATTTAAAATTAAGTTTTGCTAAAAAAAAAAAGGCTTTATATCTTTTTTGTGTTTTGACCGGTGTATTTATTTTTATCTGCATACATGAGCTACGATACATTTAGACATGGAATAATTTGGAGCTGTATGATGTGATACAATGCAACCTGATATAATTGACATTTCAGTTAAAATTTAAATAAGTCAATTTCACAAAAGTAATATTCCTTACCTTCAAGTAATTGAATTAAATTTTTTTTATATAAAAAACCAGGGATTCCCAACTCTTCATTACTTTATGGCACCGGAAACAAAAGTAAGACATGTATAATTTCAGAATTACATGTGATTGAGTTTATTACTTTTTCAATAGACATAATTAGGCAAAACAGACTTACTGCATGAACAAACATTTTGACATTATGAATATAAACTGAAGTCTATCTCACAAACCCATGCCCAGTTGTCTCACCATGGCAGTTATTCAGCAGGAGAAATGTGAAAAACACAGTAGTCATAGCTCTTCAGTGGATTGCAAAGCCCCTCTAACACTGGAAAAAAAAATATTATTACATTTTAGAGCCAAAGAAAATGGAAAAGGGGATGAAAAAAATAATTTTGGTGTGTCTGCTCTGAAGGGAGAGCAATGAGTATGCTGTTGAAGTAAAATAATAATCATAATAATTCGGCCAAGAACGAAACTCAAAAGTTGGATTAACTAGTAAACTGTGTGCAGTATGGTTAAATGCAGTGCATGCTCTCAGTCGACAGTAACAGTGTGCAGCACTAGCAGTCACAGAGTACAGCTAGTGACAGCATTATGCTCAAAAGTGCACTGTAATAATTTATTTTGTGTTGAGGGGGTGAGAGAGTGTGTTTGTTGGGGCGTTACCTTGTCATGGCGAGCTGCAGTTTCAGCTGACATACGTGTAAATATCCTCTCAGCGCCATGGTCACTCTGGAAGGACAAAGCTTTGAAGCGAGGGTCTAGAGCAGATGGGAGGTATGGAGGTCATGGGGAGGTGTGTGCACCAACTCGTTGTTAAACGCCGTCTTCGTCTCAGTAATCAGTGCCTTGACTTCATCCGATGTTTTAAAGGGCTTTTGAAGGTTGAGGGGGGGGCAGTCAATTGGATTGTTGGCTGCCCGTCCCGTCCCGCTCGTGCTTGACCGGTGCCATCAACTTGACTGTGTCTTCAGCATTGTCGATGTCATTCTCATTAAAAGACTTCACCTCCTCCCCTCTTCTGCGCTCTCTTAACATGAGTGTGGTCACTGCTCCAAAAAGCGCTCTAATGTGTCATGGGAGCTTTTCCGTCAGGTAGATGCATCTCGAATGAGCTTGTGGGAAGGTCATAGCCAGGTCCAGCTCCTGCTGGTTCTCCAGTAGGATTTCAGCTCCCTTTATATTGTGATGCAAAACCCCAACCACCCAAGGTGAGGGGTCATCTCTGCTTCTGCTCATGCTACAGTCATGTTTTTGGCATTGGCAGTTACCGGGGGCCTGTTCTTTGTCAGTCAACACATGCCTTTTTTAGTAAAGCGCCTGTGTTTTTCCTCGTGTGTGATTCATTCATTCATTCTTTACTTTGATACACAGCTCTGGCTCACATTTGTCAGTAAAATGCTGTCTATTTGGTATCTTGTACCTCAGCTCTAATAAATTTACCATGTCACGAAGTCATCACTCTCAACTACTTCTCTGATGTTCTACAGATTTTACAAATGGCCAGACTTTTGTCCAATTTTCATTCCTTCTTATGAAATTTGACAGTGCACTGTAAACATTGTCAGCGAGTTTACTCTCATATAAGGCCAAAGATCAATGTGAGAGTCTCTTGTTGTCCTCTTTACCTTTGAGAGTGGAGACACTGTGCAGAATTAGCAGCAAAGCTACAGTCAGCCAGTTAGTAACTTTAGAATGTTCATTGTACATTTAGGTTGATCCAGAGGTCAGCTTATCAACGTTGTCACATCTTTAATGCTGTTTGCTGTCACCACAACTGGACCCATGAAAGAAAGAGAGATAATGCTAATTAGCAACCGTCATTTATATAATGTGCGATTAACTCTGTCTAACAACACAAGCTGTCAAGTGCTGTAAATGGAAAATGCCGACCCAGAGACCTGAAGAAGACCTGATCTGATTTTGAAAAATGTAAAAATATGCACAAAAGCTGCAGTATTTTTATAGTCTAGTTTATGTTTCCTTACACAGAAAATTAGAAGAATTGAAATTTGAATCCACCAGAGTCACTTCACCAGTATCAAATCCTCCTCCTAATCATTAGAATGAATGAAAGTAGGTCTGGGCTATACAGCAATAGAGTCAAAACAGATGAAGGATCCTGCCGGGTTAGTGACCAGGTTACACACCAAACAAACACCCACCAATCTACACTCAATACCCCACATTAACAAAGTGAAAACTTGTTTGTATTCTCCAAACTGTGGTCGAGAGGGTGACACAGGAGTGGATTTACACTCCTGTCCCATCCCACTCCCACAAAAACATTCCTGTCCCGTCCCAGCCCCATGGCACACCCCCCTCCCCTGCTAACAGAGATGCCTCTAGTCCACATCGGTTACTGCAGCACAGCAACTCAGACAAGTGTGTGGCCAAAATTGATTGAGTAGTTCTAATATAAGATGGAGCACCGGTCAGAGTAGACAGCAGAGGATAAAGAAGAACAACAGAAAGACTTGCGTTATGTTTCAAATGAAGAAATGGTTTTCATTCATATTAGAACTGCATATATAAAAACTGACCTATATCTATTCTGGTCCGATTTCCTGTCCCGTCCCAGTCATGTGATTGATAGTGAAATTGACTCCCATCCCGAGGGAATCGCACAGGAATCCCAAAAAATTACTACAAAAAGCACTACTGTGCTCAGGTGCATTCTGTTTTATTATTATGTTTTTTTTTTTTTTTTTTATTTATTGTTGCTTTTATTATCCTTGAGATGTGTCTAGAACTTCACTGGCAAATTGAATCGATTGGGAATAGTTTAGCCGTGTTATATAAGCCCCACCAATTCACGAGAAAAACCAAGCCATGAAACCCAAGGAACTCTGCAGACCTGCACAATAAAATTGTGCCAGAGGAAAAGAGACATTCATGATAAATTCATGGAAAGTTAAGAAAAGATTCAGAGAGAGGCTCACACTGCTTCTTTTCTTGGATGTTGTATTATGTCGTTGATCTACACTTCAATTATATTGTTGTCGTTTTTGAGGGAATGTTTTTCTGCGGTTAAAAGTCAAACATATGTTTTGTTTTAAGCGTCTCTAATATAAATACAGGAGCTCTTCAATGAGGAGAAATAAAAAAACATATTTTAATAGGCACAATATGTGTACAAATGCAGGCATATTTGGTCTTAGTAGCTGCTTGTGTAACCTGTTTGCTCTTAGTGCCTGCATTTGTGCACATATTATTGAAAAATATAAATATTTTATGAATGTTTCTTTTCTTTCCTCTGCATTGAACAGCTCCTCTTCTGTTCTCTACCTGCTACTGCCTGCAATGCTTCTCTATAGACAGTGCGGCAGTGGTTGGGGATTAGCTGGAAAAAGTGGTTAGTTGAGACTAGTATGTAAACCAAGTAAATAAACGGTAACTCAAACACTCTTGAGAAAAACACACAATCTTATTTACCATTCCCAGGAAGCACTGGTCCATTGGTTGTGACAGAAAATATTTTAGACTCACCCTGAACACACACACTGACTATCATAATTCTGTTAAGCCTCAAGCCTCATACAAGAATACTGTCTGTCACATTCAAATATTGTCACAAAGACATAAATATGTGTATTTGTTGTATAAAAACATAATATGGTGGCTGATAACTCAAGTTATTTAGACGTTTAAACTTTGTAATAATACCAATAATAATAATAAAAAAATTATGTAATAATAATGTTATCTAGACTTCTTT